CAGCACTAGCTATCCCAATCCCTCCACTAGCCACACTATCCCCAGTGCTGGCCACACCAATGTCTGCACTAGCCACACCAATGCCTGGACTAGCCAAGCCACCCCCAGCACTAGCCACACCAATGCCAGCACTAGCCATGTCAGTGCCTGCACTAGCCGTGCCACCCCCAGTGCTGGCCACGTCAATGCCTGCACTAGCCATGCGAACACCTGCATTAGCCATGTCAATGCCTGCACTAGGCAAGCCACTCCCAGCACTAGCTGTGCCAATGCCTGCACTAGCCACGACAACACCTACACTAGCCACGTCAACACCTCATCTCCCTCCAGGCGCTGCCGCTTCCTTCCTCGTCCTCAGACTTCTTCAATCTTTCACGCACCGGCTGAGCTCCTGCCTGCGGTGCCGGCAGGGCAGGCAGGGCAGCACGTGGCTGCCCTGCCCTTAAATATTTGAGGCAGTGCTGGTTCCTTTGCATTAATAAACAGGGGGCCAGCCCGGATCCATCCCCCCCCCCCCTTCCCCTCACAACCCAGCGGCACCCATAGGGTGCACGGGGTGGAAGGACCACGCTCCCCCCTTTGCTTCCCCCCATCCCTTGGGTTTGCCAGAGGGTGCCGGGGAGCAGCCGTGGCCGCCGTGGCTCCTGCCAGACACCCAAAGGGAGCCCCGCAGACAGCAAAACTCCTGCCGTTCCCCTGCCAGCACCACCATAAATCACCGACAGGGAACAGAAACGGGGTGAGGAGTCGGATAAAACAACTCGCGGGCGCTGAAAGCTCGTCTGAGGATTAACGACCCCGCGGCGGGACAGGGACGGCGGGTGGGAGCGTGGCCGGCGGCGCCGGTGGCACTTCCAGCTGAAGACATCGGCGCTGGCTGTTATTCCAACAGGGCTGCATCTCCAGTCGCTTACTCACACTGGAGACACATGCACTGTAGAATACAGCCAGGCCTCGGCCGGGTGTCCGTCCTGCCGTCCCTCTGTCCCTCCGGTCCCTCCGCCGCAACTCAGCATCCCCGTCGTGCGTGGGGGGGGAGATGGGGCAGAGCCCGAGCGGGACACCCGGGGCTGTTCGGAGCATCAGATGCCGGCAGCACAGTCGGCGCGGGGACAGACAGGTGGCAGCTGGACGCGGGTGATGGCTTTAATAGGGCCAGGAATCCGGGTCCGTCCCCAGAGGGGGTGGAAAAAGCTGCAGGAGCTAAAAAAAACCATCCCCAAGATGAAGAGAGAGCGGCAGAGCCAGGCGGGAGTGTTTGCTGTGCGGGGAGGAGGTGGGGGGAGCAGGGCTGGCCCGGGAAGGGCATCCTGCTCGTCCTGCTCATCCTGCTCATCCTGCTCGTCCTGCTCATCCTGCTCATCCTGCTCATTTCGCTCATCCCACTTGTCCCACTTATGCTGCTCGTCCCACGCGTCCCATTCGTCTGGCTCGTCCCACTCGTCTTGCTCATCCCACTCGTCTTGCTCATCCCACTCATCCTGCCTGTCCCACTCATCCCACTTGTCCCGCTTATCCTGCTCATCGCACTCATCCCATTCATCTGGCTTGTCCCACTCATTTTGCTCATCCCACTCATCCCACTCACCCTGCTCATCCCACTCATCCTGCTCATCCCACTCACTCATCCCACTGGTTCTGCTCGTCCCACTTGTCCCACTAGTCTTGCTCACCCCACTTGTCCCACTCATCCCGCTCATCCCACTCATCCCGCTCATCCCGCTCATCCCACTCGTCCCGCTCCCAGCCCAGCTCCTCCAGACGCCCCTCGCCCCACGTTGCTCAGCCCTGGGGATGCTGCCGAGCAGCGGCCGGGGCTCTGCACCCTTTTGCTGCCAGGATGCAGCCCTGCTCCGCGCCGGGCAGGGAGCCAGCGCGCGGTCGGAGCCGCCATCCCAACCGCATCCCATTTATTGCCATAAATAGTATTTCCCAATGGCCTCGGGCTGGGACGATCCCGCCGCAGGCTCAGCCCGGCTGGGGCCCCGCTGTCAGCTCTGTTTCTTGCTTTTATTTAATGACCCCACTTGGGAGCTGAAGCAGCGAGTCCCTGCAGGCGCCCAGGGCGCCGGGAGAGCTTGGAGCCACACCAGGAATGGGTTCCCTTCCTGATGGGGAAGGGGGTCCCTCCTCCAGCGGGATGCGGTGATGTGCGGGGTCCCTGCGTTTGCCGCGGAGGTGATGAGCGTCCTGGGGCCGTCACGCAAACTGGAGAGGGGGACACGGGGAGGGGGTTATCCCTGCTCTGGCTCCCACGGATGGATCCCCACTGCAGGCAACGTGCAGGCAGCACGCACCCGCTGCATCCTTCCCCTGCCGCTGCGGGATGGAAGGGCAGGATCCATCCCCCCGCATCCCCAGCCTGGGCAGGGAGCACCCCCGAATGCCAGCGGGCACTGGTGTGCTCTCCACAGCCTGGGATCTAGGTTGCATCCCTGCCAAGGAACTAATTAAGGGGCTAATTAGCCTCCCATAGCCAGGCACTTGCATGGCAAGCTGAGCTTGCTTCGCCACCCCTGGGACGCTGGGGTTGGCAGCGAGGGGATGGGGTCCCCACATCTCGCTCCCGGCACTCTGCCCCACGGGTCCCAGCCAAGCACCACCCCAGTTTGGGGGCTGCAGCTGGGAGACACGGAAGCGGGGGGCTCTCCGGATCCGTCCCTGGCTCGGGGTACACTTGGCTGGGCCGGGGTGTTTGGATGAGGCCGTGTTGGCACACACATCCCTGGTGTAGTGGGATGTTCCAGCACCCGGCAAGGAGATGAAGCCATCAGCCACCCCATCGCTGTCACGGGATGTCACCGGGACCCACCGAGCTGGGCTCACCACAGCCCCTAGACCTGCACCCACCAGGGCAGGGGACCCGAACATTCCGCGGGAGAGGCTTCCCCATCCGCCGCTGCCAGCGCCTGCTCCGCGTCCCAGCTTCCCTGGAGGGCAGAGCAATAATAACACTTCCCAGGAGGGCATGGAGGGTTAATTAACTTCACCGAAGTGGGGGGAAGCGTGGAGCAATTGCATTTCCCAGCTGTCAGAGCAGAGCCTGACACCCTCATCCCGAGGTCTGCACGCCCAGCAGCTCCGAAAATGCCGCCTGGGACAGGGATGCCAGGAGATGCGTGCTGGGGAGGGGGGTGGATTTGGGGCTAGACCCAGGGAGAGGGTGCAGGCAGCAGCTCCAGTACCCATCCAGACCCAGCGGGCAGGGGACACAGCACAGTGCTGGGCATCACTGACAACCCCAGGAGCTGAGGATGCTGCTCCTGCAGAGCAGGCTAGAGCAGGGGACCAGCACCGTCCCTGTCCCTGTCCCTGTGGCCCAGTGGGACCATCGACCTGGGACTGGTGTCAGCTTTGCTCTGGCCTGGGAGGATGGGGACGCTGGTCTCGCTCTACCAGACACCCAAGCTGACTGGGTGACACGTGCCATCGCTGACCCCCCGGGTAGCCCATGGGATGGTGGTGCCGGCAGGGATTTTGCTGGCTCCGCTCGGCTGGCACGCCAGCATCCCCCGGCGCGGAGCAACGCCGGAGCCCTATCTGCCTCAATATTTCCCGCCGGAGCCATCGAGTGATTAATGAAGCCATTCATCTCATTAGAGTAAGCAATTTGTCTTTGCTCCGACACAAGCCAGGGCACAGCACGGCCCCGCGCGGCACAAACCCCCACGGCTTCGGCAAAGCCAAACCTCACCGCGGCCCAGCTGGCCGGAGCACGAGCTGCTTTCCTCCCTGTGGAAAATGGCACCTTTTTATTTTCCCCCTATTTTTTTTCTCCCTCTTTCCTTTCAAAGAGCCGCGGCAGCATCCCGTACCCAGGCATGCAATGGTGGGAATCCCCAGCATAGCCCCCCCCATTCGTCCCACTCATCCCACCCCAGGCTCCAACAGACCCCGCTGGGATGGAAAAGCATCTTTTCCAGTGGAGGGAATTCACCAGCAGCAAAAACGTGACTTTTTTCGGGGAGGGATGGCTACACGCTGAGTAGAGATTTCTGGGACAGATCCATCCCCCTGCTCACCCCCACCAGCCGCAGCAGCTGGGTTCAGCCCCCCCCCTGCCCCCCCACCCTGGCCTCTCTGGATGTTTATGGAATAGAGAAATCCCATCCTGGCCGGCTTCCTCTCCGGAAAGGCTCCTCTCACGCCTGCCATGGGGACGGAGAGGGACTGGAGGGGGGGTCTGGCATCCCCCCCACCAGCACCTGCGCTTGCTGGGTCTCACGCCTCGGGGCTTGCACCCATTCCCCTGGCCTCGCTCCTGGGCAATGGATGGAGATGATTTTTCCCCCATGGGGGAGCTCAGGGTGATGCTCGCCTGCCCAGAGCCCCCCGCCCAGGGTGAGGAGGAGCCCCCCTCGGAGCGGGGAGAGGTGGGATCCAGTGCAATGAGGTACCCGCTGGGATGCTGAGCACCCTTGGGGGTACCTAGAAGCTGGGGTCCCTTTCTGAGGGGGGGCACTTGAGGACTTGGAAAGTGGAGTTAGCACCAGCAAGAGCTCAAATCCAGGACCTGCCACCCACTGGGCTCCTCTTTAACCAAGGGGAAACTGAGGCACAGAAAGCGAGGCTGCGATACCCGGCGCCCGGGAGCATCCTGCTCCTGAAGGGACGTGGAGCTGGGCTGCAGGACCCCCACCCTGCCTTGCAAGGGGGGGCCGGGGCTGGGTGTCCTTCCCAGCTCCCAGGCTGAGGATAGGGGTCCTGGGCTGGGGGGAGCCAGGTCTGCAGCCAGGCTGGGTCCTGCCATCGCTGCGGGAGCACCCATGGGTGCTGGCTCCAAGGGAGGATGCTGGCACCGGCCCAGGCTTCAGCAGCAGGCTCCTGCTGCGTCCTTCCTCGTGCCGTCCTGGTGGGGACAGCAGCCCCTGCTTGCTGCGGGGCCAAGGAACCTCGAGGAAATGAATCATCTCCCGGCTGAGTTTCCAGCCCAGCTTTTGCCATAAAAACTACAAGTAAATTATTTGACCGACACAACCCTGCGAGCTCGGAGGCATCCGTCTCCCTTCGAGCCCTCAGAGCCCAGCTCCTGCCCCTCCCACGGGACTTTATCCACCTGGGAACGCGAGGGAAATGATCCCAATTAATTCTGTAAGTGGATTAGTGCGTTAGCCCCTGTGTGAGCGATCGCCGTCGGGATGAAGCCAGACAACGCTCCGTCTGGACGACTTCACTCCCTGAGCTGGGGCACCCAAATCAAATTAGAGCATCCAAGATGCTGAGCACGCAGATTTTTGCGCCCACGGGCATCGCATTCCGCCCCCCCCAGTACCCACGTCCCACGGGCACCATCCCCACCCATGGGCAAACGTTGCCCAACACATTTGCAAGGCTGCCGGCTCAGGGTGCAAAGAGATGGGGATGTTTGAGGGCACGGCGTACAGCGAGGGGGGGGTCTGGGGCAGGGAAAAGTCCCCCCATCGCCCCATTTATCGCTTTGCCCTAAGCCCTCTCCAGCAGCAGATGGGGTGAGAGATGGCAGCCCTGCAGCCGGCAGAGCCGCGGTGCAGCCAGGACCCCCCTGCCAGCCCCCAGGCCCTCTCACACCAGCCCCGTTGCCTCTCGCAGGGTGTTTGCAGGCGTCAAAGACCGAGGAGCATCTTCCAGACCCTGCTGCTCGCCGGGGCATCCCCTGCAGAGCAGAGCCCTCGACAAGGAGGATGACCACGGCTGCCTGCCAAGCTGGGAGCCCGGCCAGGGTGGTCGCCCCATCGCAGTCCTGCAGAGCCGGGGCTGGGGGCTCGGCTCCCTCCCACCTTGGGGTCTTCCCATTGGATGCATTTTTAGCCTGCGCCGGCTCGGCCGCAGCCGCCAGCCTCTGGATCTCGTTGCGTTCTCCCGTCTGACAGGCAAAAAGCAAATCACATTTGTATTCCTGCCGCCGCTCGTTGCCATCTGGGAGGCAGCCTGCCTCTGCCAGCACAGCCCTTTGCCGGTCCCCGTGTCCCCAACCTGGGGACACCCGGGTGCTCGAGTCCCCGCCCCTGGCCAGGGCAGCCCCGGGGGCTCCCTGCCTGTCCCCAAACCTGCAGGCAGTGGGTCAGTGCCCACAGGCAGGGACATCCAGGCTCTCTCCCATGCCATAGCTCTGGCTTTCCCCATCACTTTCTCCTCTCTAGGCCACTTTCTCTCCTCCCGCCTCCCTTCTGCAGAGGAAGATGCTGGTCCAGGACCCCCTTCTGCCCCACCGATTGCACCCAGAGTTGTCTCCCAGGGCACGGGGACAGACGTCCCTTCCTTTGCCACCTCTCCAATGCATGGCAGCAGGGTGACAACACCATGCTCACACCCTGGGATCCCAGGGAAGCAGCCAAGGACCACCCCCCGCCGCTCCAGACCCCCAAGCTGAGCCCCAGCAGCCGGTGGCTGCAAGCAAACACCCAGCCCCGGCGCCCGCGCCGCCCTGCCCAAGCATTTGCCAAGCAATCTGGCGATGTTAAAAATATCCCTGAGCCGTGATTCATCCTCCTCTCCCGCCTCCCCCTCGCCTCTGGCAATGCTGAGCCCCCCAGCCCTGCTCCCCTCCCTGGGGGCCTGCTCCCCGCTACACCCCCCCCCCAGCTGCACAGCCCCACGCTCCGGCCGCGGCGGTTAAATATAGCCAAGCTCTGGCTGTGTGTTAGCAACGTGGAGCTGACAACAAGCAGGCAGGGCCAGGCAGGAGCCCTGTTGCAGGCAGAGAACATCGCCAGGCTAAAACGCTGCGGTGCAAGCGGGG